AAGCCAGAACAACTACAGAGGTCATATATAGCTGTTTAAGCCCCAGCTGAGATCTCAGATACCAGTCGTATGAGTATGAATAAGCCATCAAATGATTCTAGTCTTCAGCTGAGGCCTGACACATGAACAGATATAATTCATTCCTGTGTAAATCCTTGACTCACAGAATCTGAAGATAATAAACATGCCATTATGTTTTAGGATAATTTGTTATGCAATCCTAATAACTAGAACAGGCTAGTCTCCCCCCAATTCTTCCTTGTCACACAGGCTACTGCTAAACAGCTGTCCTTAAGTAAAAATAAAGCCAAAAATTAGGAGAAAATCCTCATAGGGTGGTGAACTCAATCCATGTAGTATATATACTATACATTTTAAGGTACTTAATAGAGACATGTTTGGGTGAACTGATGGCAAATTCAAGACATAAGGGAGACAACACACTTCATATGCTGGCTACAGTAAAATAAGTGGCTGTTCCAAAGCTGAGTGGAAACAGAACTTGAAACTGATACAATACTAATGAATTTATCTCACTCCTATGTCCAAAAAAAGAAAGAGAATGAAGAACTAACAAAGTTAGTTGGAACTTCTTCATTCCACCATTTTCTCAGGAAAATACACAGAAAAAGCTTTGATGATATAAGTACTAGAAAAAGAGCAGGCTTTGACAAAAATGAAAATTTCACCTATGGTACAGATGTTACAAATCATTACTTGGTAATCTCCAGAGGAAAGCGAGTAGTTCTCCTTTCCAGTGAATACAGAATGCCGGTGAACCAAGCAGCTGCCCACAATGGAGGTTTCTGACATTCAGTTGTATTTAATGGACTTAAGAGAACAAATATCAGAGGTTGAACGTCCCTATTAATTTGCAGTTTATCATATACCACTGCACAAGTTGCAAAATGCATAACCAGGGAGCCATTCAACACAGATTAAAATATGTAGCATTTATACAAAAGTACAAAGCAACTCAAACAGTTTGAATGACTTGGGTGCAAATACTAAGAAGAATAAATATACTATAATTCAACAGTTAATTTCTCATATTATCCCTGTTAAGCTTATTTTTTTCAACCACAATTTACATTCAGTACCATTCTCCACAAATTCCAGATGTACACAAAGTGGCCAGAAAATTATGCACTCTACAGAGTGGTCCCCCTGCTGCCCAAGCACCCACCTGGCCCATACCCCACAATCAATGACTATATTCTCCATGCTGCAACCTGCATCTCTGGCTATTCTGCAACTACCAATCGGTACTGCTTCATCCCTTCACCTTTTTTACCCAGCCCCATGAATGTCCCCTCCAACAGCTGTCAGTTTGTTCTCTGTAGCTATGTCTGTTTCTATTTTGCTTGTTTATTTTGTTCATTAGATTTCACATATAATTGAAATCATATTGTATTTGTCTTTCTCTGACTGGCTTATTACTTATTACTTATTATCACTTAGCATAATACCCTCTATACCCACCCATGCTGTTGGGAAAGGTAAGGTTTTCTTGGGTTGCTTGGAAAGGTAAGCACTTGGGTTGCTTCCAAATCTTGGCTACTGTAAGTAACACTGCAAGTGCCTATATTCTTTCAAATTAGTGTTTCACGTTTCTCTGTGCACACTCCTAGAAGTGGAATCACTGGATCATAAGTACAATTTCATTTTTAATTTTTTGAGGACCCTCCGCACTGTTTTCCATAGTGGTTGAAACAATCTGCATTTTTGATGACCTGAAGTAATGACAAAAAAAGTTTCTAAATACCTTAGGAACTATCATTCTAGTAATCTACTCAACTCTATTAGAACTGGTTTTTAATATATAAACATATATAAAATTTATTAAATACATGTCTTCAAAAAAGAGTAATTAGACAGCACATTGGCTACTACATTAAAAATTAAAACACACTATTTTTTTAATCCTTACCAGAGAACATTTTTTCATTGCTTTTAGAGACAGAGAAATGGAGGAGTAGAAAGGGGACGAGAGGAGGAGAGAGGCAGATAGGGAAGGAAGGAGGGAGAGTGGGAGAGAGAGAGAAACATCAATGTAACAGAGAAACATTGACTGGTAGCCTCTTGGAGGCTCCCCAACAGGAATGAAACCAGCAACCTTTCAGTATACAGGATGATGCTCCAACCAAAGAGCCACACTGACCAGGGCAAAAATAAAATATACTATTATATACTAAAGTACCCAACAGAAAAATGGTAGATGAGCAGCATAAAAATATCCTCCTACAGCCCTGGCTGGTATAGCTCAGTGGATTGAGCATCCGCATGTGAACCAAAAGGTCACCAGTTCGATTCCTAGTTGGGGCACATGCCTGGATTGCATACCAGGATGCCAGTTGGGGGTGTGCTAGAGGCAACCAACCAATTGATATATCTTTCACATCAAAGTTTATCTCACACATTGATGTTTCTCTCCCATTCTTTCTCCTTCCCTTTACCTCTCTGAAAATAAGTAAAAAAAAAAAAAATCCTCCTATAGAATTTTGAAACAAATACAGAACTGTAAGTTAAAATAAAAACTAAATATTAACTAAATAAACATTAACTAACATTAAATTAAAGCAAGAATTATTAAATGCCTCAAAGAGGTCTAAAGAGTCAATAAGAGGAAAAAGGCTCCTTTTCTTCTATTAGTTCTCTAATACATGAGTGTTTCCATTAACCAGAAATTTTTATAAAACAGAATTTCCTACTTTGAATATTGTCTCTGTTTGGCAACTATACTCCAACTATCTATTAATAAATGACAAAATACAAAAAAATTAAAATGTTAACTTTTTGGAAAAGCACATTAGTTGGGTATGTTAGATAATATCCTTAAAGGCACTACTCTGCAGCCCCTTTTCCAGTGTAAAATTGCTTGGAATTGGGGATAAAAGAGATAAAATTAGTGATCCTGCTATACAGTATACATTGGATATATTTATGTATATATATGTATATATATATATAAAATTTTAAGCTATAAAACTGGTAAAAAAAGATGCATATTTTCTTCTAGCTTTGAGATATAACTAACATAAGTTGTGTAAATTTAAGATTATATCATTTAGCATAATGCCAAGGTCCATCTATGCTGTCACAAATGGCAGGATTTCAGAAGATTAATAACATATTACTTAAAGATTTCAGAGTATAGAAACAAAGTCATCCCCATCCATGGGAGATACTGTTCCAGGACCTCTGGTTGCCTAAAACCAAAGATAGTACAAAGCTCTGTATATACCATGTTTTTTCTTATCTATACATACCTATGACAAAGTTTATAAATTGGGCATAGTAAAGAGATGAACAGCACTAATAATAAAACAGAACAAGTATAACAATATACTGTAGTAAAAGTTAAGTGAATGTGGTCCTTCTCTCTCTATGTGCCAACCAAGAAAGCTAAGGGACTGATGGGTGGGTAGTGTACACAGTGTGAATTATGCTGGAAAAAGGGATGATTCATGTCCCAAGCAGACCGGAGAGATGGTGTGAGATTTCATCACACTACTCAGAATGACATGCAATTTTAAATTTATGAATTGCTTATTTTTGGAATTTTCCATTTAACATTTTTGGAGCATAGTTGACTGAAACAAAAAAAAAAGCAAAATCGTGGATAAGGGAAGACTATTGTACCTGGGGAACACAACAGAAACCTTACGAAGGTGTTATCTTGGAGATGCAGATATGAGGAATGAGGAATTCCAGTTTGAATATGAACTACATATTAGTTACTATTAAATTAATAATATTAAATTTTGGTGTATGATAATGGTACTGTGGTAATTTATAAGACACTTAGGCTGCTGAAGTGCTTCCAGGTGAAATGTACCACTGTCAGAAATTTCAGAATAATCAAGGAGAGAAAAAGCAAGTGTACAAAATGCTAATAATGGGTCAATCTAGGTAAAGTAGGTATGTGTGTATTCATTATACTACCCTTTTACCTTTCCTGTTGGACTAAAACTTATTTTATTATTATTTTTAATTCTCACCCAAGGATATGTTCTCATTCATTTTAGGCAGAGAAAAAGGGAGAGAGACAGAGAGGAATATCCATGTGAGAAACACTGGCCTCCCATACATGGCCTGATTGGGGATTAAACCTGCAACCTAGATACACACAATATGTCCTATCAGGGATCGGACCCACAACCTTTTGATGTACAAGACCACACTCCAACCAAATGAGACACCAGCCAGGGTGGCCTGAAATTTTTTAACAACAACAAAAAAAAGGGATACACCATTGTATATGTCAAGACATGCCCAAGAATATTCACTAGCAACATTATTTATAAGAGCCTAAAGTGCAAACAATCCAAATATTCAGCAACAGCGTATCTGACATGGTAATAAATAGATAAGTAAATAATAGCACATAATTTATACTATATAAATACTATATACTACATATATAACATATAGTATATATGCGTAACATATACTATATATAGAACATGACAGAGAGTGCTACAGAGCAATGAAAATGCACCAACTACTGTCAACACATCATATGAATGAAACTCACAAATAATGTTGAGCAAATAAAGCTATACACAAATAAGATGAACAAATATTTGATAAATAAATAGTTCAGACAAGACTCAGATAAAATCAGGGCTGTCATTTTTATCTTTGTTCAGCAAAGGTTTGACTGACAGGCAGTTTAAGATTAAAATGAAAATGTATAAGTTATTTAGGAGAACAAATTCCTTTTAAGCATCCTCAAGCACATTTATAAAAACTGTCCACATATTATTATTGATCAGCTCCACTAACTAATCATAATGCACTGATCTGTCAGCTTTCTTAAAGACCCAGTTTCAATTAGAACTTGCATTTGACAGTTACAAACTCATACTACAAAGACTTTTCTTCATTGAATAAGGATTTTAAACTGTATTATAAATAAACAATTTTAATTTTAAAATATACCCTAAATTCAGATTTATAACCAGAGGTCATTTTTAAAAGAGACATAAAATACTTACGTTAACTTTGAAAGCTTGCACATTGTTATCCAGAAGAAGAATGTTGCAAACCACCTCTGTATGCTGTCTGTCTCGGGCCAACTCTGATGCTCGTACATTGTAGGTTCTGCCAGCAGGCAATCGGAAACGTGAGGTCATTACTGTTCACACAAGGTCTAATTTGGAAAAAAATTTTCACTAAATAAAAGAACAGTTCAAGACACAAAGCAGTTTAAAACACAAATTTACTATGTATTTTTCAACTAACACTTTGGTAAAAAGCAGTTTTAAATTTTAAAACAGCCAGATACGAATTGTAAGTATAAAAAAGATACCGTGTGTGTGTCTGTGTCTGTGTGTGTTATCTAAACCAGAGATGTCAAACTTTTTGGCATCTCTGGGTCACATTGGAAGAAGAGTTGTCTTGGGCCACACATTAAAAACACAAACAAAAACTCACGAACAAAAAAAAAGGTCCATGCATAATTTTTGTGATATCCGCCACCACAGATAAGCAAAACAGTCCTCACATAATAACCCTCATTATGCAGTGGCCCTTTCGAAAATCTTTTAAAATCATTGAACCAGTCCCAAGTTTGTGATCACTAATATAGAAAATGTACATATCTAAGTAATAAAACATTACTGATTTTTATACTTTTTTTACTATAAAAGTGAAAGAAAAGAGGACATCATAAAACTAGTAGGATGTTTGACATTGTATTTGAGAAACTAGTGCATCAACACTGGTTTGATAGTAGTTGTAATTCTCAGAGCGTTCTCAAGGTGCTCATCAGATATTTTGGTTCTAATTTTACTCTTAATGTGTTTCATTCTTGAAAACAGTTGCTCTCAAGTGTAGGTGCTGCCAAACAGTGATGGCATGAATAAGGCATGATTGTGAAGCAAGAGATATTTGTCTCAGGGAAGACAGGATCTATAAAAGTCTAGTAAAGGGACACAATCAAATTTTTCTTTAGATTGAATGTCAGATGGCAGCTCTATGCATTCCATTTGAAAATTGGCAGGTAACATATTCATGTCAACTGAAAATGGGAATTGGAAATACAGCAAAATATTGATTATTTTCATGTAAGTATTGAAATCTGCTTTCAAATTCTTGTTATCAAATCGAAAAGCAATGCTGCGCATTTTTCATTGTTCACAGGACTTTGTTTAGCCAATATGTCAACATTGCATAACATTGTTTGCCTAACATATTGCATAGCCAATATGCATAACATTGTTTGCCTTAATTTTAGCTTGCCATAATTTCAGTTTCATTTGGAATTGTTATTATTTGAAACATGGTATAAATAACTTGGTTTTCACCTTGAAGACACATGTTTAACTTATTTAAATGAGCAGTTAAATTCACTAAAAATCCTAAATCTGTAAGCCAGTTTTCACCGTCAAGTTCTGGCACAAATTTGTTTTTTGTTACCATAAATGACTTGATAACATGTCGCAAATCATGAAATCTTATCAATATTTGGCCTCAACTTAGTCATCTTACTTCCGAAAAGCAAACGATGTTGCCATAATCAGCATTAGTATTTTTAAGGAATTCCTGGAACTGGCGACGATTCATTCAATCCCTTGGCTCTTAGGAAACTCAGTCTTTTTTTTTTTAATATATTTTTTTGATTATGCTACTACAGTTGTCCCATTTCCCCCTTCACTCCCCTCTGCCCTGCTCACCCCCTCCCACCCACGTGCCTCCCCTTTAGTTCATGTCCATGGGTCGTACATATAGGAAGAGCAACAAGTAGACAAGTTATTTGAACAAATAATAAAGGAGAACTTCCCTGATCTGGCAAAGGAAATAGACTTCCAGGAAGTCCAGGAAGCTCAGAGTCCCAAAAAAGTTGGACCCAAGGAAGAACACACCAAGGAAATTCAGTCTTGATGATGATTTGCATAACAATATCCATTTTTTAAAGCTTTTGTGCATAAATTTTCTTGATGTACTATGCAATGATACTTCATCAAACATGAGTTTTGGGCAGCAATTGCATCACCTTTTATTAATTTTACAAGCCCCTCTCCTTTACCTACCATCACTAGAACACCGTCAGTAACTATACCAGATACGTTGACAATGGACAAAGAAAACTGCTTTAACATATTTTTCACTGCTTTGTATAAATCTCTTGATTTACTTGTGCCTTTTAATGGCACTAAAGAAGCCATTTCTTCATGACATTATATTCATCATCAATAACTCTAATAAAAATAGCAAGTTGAGCCATATCTGTAGCATCGGTACTATCATCCATGCCAGAACATAAAATTTAAAATTGGCAGCTTTACTCTCCAAATTTCTTTTGATAGATTTTCTAATTTCTTCAGTTCGCCTGGCTATAGTCTGGTTAGACAAACTTATCTTAGAGATACCCGCTTTTTTCCAGGGCAAATTATACCTACCATCTTTCTATACATTGCTTAATAAACTCACCATCAGTAAATGGTTTTGATTTTTTTGCTGTTAAAGATGATACCACATAACTAGTTTTTACAATGGAATCTTCCCAAGTTGTAACTTTTTGAAAAAATTTTTATGGAGCAGATACTTTTCCAGTTCCACTATTTTGTCCTTACGACACAATCCTTCGTATGCATTGAATTCCACAATATGTTTTTGCACATAATGTCTTTTCAAATTGAGGCAGGAGATAGTCAGGAAGGAAGCTCCAGAGGCCCAGCAGGGCTAAGGTAGATAACATCTATACATGACAAAGACCCCCTAAGACGGGTTGTTCCTGTTTTCTGGGATAACTCTGAATCATAGAATGCGCCTGCGCGCTACCCCTGATTCATTATAATATCATTATAATGAAATAACATTGTGGGACTCCCTTCTCCAGTAGCCAATCAAGAAAGTCATGGGAAACCATACATGCACCGTAGCTTTGAAATCCAACTCCTTGTACCTGCGCAGGAAAAGCCCGCCAAAGACTAGCAAAGATGCTTCTGCCCCTATAAGAATAGAATCCCCCAGCCCACATGTCCTTTTTTCTTCTCTGCTCAGAGCTGGCTCACTCCCGTGTCCTGTGGAGTGTACTATCACTTAATAAGCCTTCCCTCTTTCTTTATGCTATAAACTTTGTGTGTTTGGTTCACTTCTTTGTCCTCGATCACTAAGAACCTGGTTACCTATGCACACCTGTGACAAAATTATAGTCTTTGAAAACTTGCACAAATTCCCTACAAATTAAGCAGAGTGCCTTACTATTTGCCTCAACAAAAAAGTAGTCATCTGTCCATTTTTCACTGAACAATCTTCCTTCATCCATAATTTTTCTTTTGTTTGAATTCTTTTTTATCTTGAGATATTGTAGAAACTGCTGGGATTAAAAATAAGAATAGATAAGGGACTTTATTTACTTTTATTATGAAAATTAATTGACAGGAAAACAGAAAGCAAGGTTTGGACCCTTCCACAGCCCTCTTGGCTGCCAAAACTGGGCAAGTGGGAGGACTGATTGTAAAGTATGGCGGGTGACATGTATGGCACCAAGGAGGTGTAGAAGTGCCTTCAATAATCAAATAAGAATGCTTACCCGACTTCTAAATAACATTAAACATCTAACGTTGCAATGGTAGGTTGAAATATTATTGATAATCGCTGCCTCGCTAAGTGACCATGAGCACATACAATGTCTGATGATGTCAATTCTACTGTCTGTGCTTGGAATATAAGACATAGGAAGCCAAATGCTGCCATAAAACTGAAGCCACTCATGCGTTCAGATAGTGATAGCATACGTACATTTATTTTACGTGACAATGTGACACACACTCAAAAAGAAATCTCATGTTTTAAGTAAATTTACAATTTTGTGTTGGGCCATGTTCATAGCCATCCTGGACCATACATGACCAACGGACTGTGGGGTTGGACTCCCCTGATCTGAACTAAAATTACAAACTACCTGGAAGATTGTTCAGGAAGGCCCTGCCTGGTCTCAGGAAGCTGTAACCCGCCGTGACTTAGGCTGAGTGAAAGACCTCCAGACCAGGAGCCACTAAGGAAACAAAACTTATTTCCCTGGCATGAATGCTGCCTGTTCTGTGCCTGGCCCCCTAGGCTTGATCAGGTAGCCAATGACGGGTAAGATTTCCCACGGAGGGAATAGCCTAAGACAGGCTTGATCACAAGGAAACCTCAGGGAAGAGACTCGGGGCTGTGGAAATGGAGGGGTGATGGACATCAACCCCTGCCCCCTTTGTCAAAGCCTGAGTCCTTGTTCTTAGATGTGAGAAATGCAAGTCTCCTGGCTGCCTTTGTCTCCTCTGCCTGACTCAGGCCTGCAGAAATAGCAGGGATGGTGCAGCCCAGACCAGAAACGGCAGACCCCAGGGGTAATCAGGCCTGGGACATAGAATATGCAAGATCCTGTGAGATCTGTTTGCTAGAGGATGTTATTAGATTAGAATTTGAAGGCGCAGACAGGAAACCAAAACTAGCCCTTTGAGCCCTGTAGTCCTTTCAAATGATAAAACTCTGAACTCTGCCCAGAATCACAGCGGGGGTTCTGTCAGCATCTTTGAAAGTCACCTATTTCTTTTGATCTTTTCTGCCAGACTGTGAATCCACAAACTAAGTCTGTATTCTTAATAAAAATCTGCTTGGGAATGGAAACGGGGCGCTCCCCACTAGAGAGAGTGGCCATTCCATCCCTACTTCCCCTCCCCACAGGGCCTGGTTGTCTCTGTGTATGTTTTTCTCGTGTTTCAATGAGCCATCCGCAGCATTCCACGATCACTGTAGGCTGGTGAGCACGCATCAGAAGATGAGCTTTATTTTTAATTTTTTCCACTAAGAAAACAGACAAACTGTTCAGGGAGTCATTCCAATTCAAAATATATAATTTTAGGAGTAGCCAAAGGGTGGAAAGAGAATATGCTACCTCAGGAAGACAAACATTAGTCAATGGTGCAAGTATTAAAAAACACTGTAAGGTGGCAACAGGAGGAAATATTTAACTCTAAAGGTATCTTCCCTTTATTAAGTTTAAGATTTAAGGGAAAATGGGAGTCTGTTTTTAAGCCAACAATACCCTTCATTTTAACTATCCTCAAGTTCAAACTGATTCTAATAGGATTATTCTTATTATTAAGAACACAAAAACTGAAGGCTTTACTTTTTGATTTGTTACTTAAGAGGTTAAAA